TATCGATGTTTTTTAAAATATTCAATTACTATAATATCGGCTTATACATTTCATCTTTGCTTCCTTTTTGCGATAAATTAACTGCCGATATCATTGCACTATTTTTTTCTAACATTTGACCTCCGATACAGGTCCAAGTTGGTTGAGTTTCAAACGGCCCAAGGATGCATTCCTACCTTGTATTTTTTTACGTATCACGTTGGAGAGAATTGTCATTCACAATTTCATTACACTACCGTCTCTATACGTTATACGTTCAATTCTCCATCATAAATTAATTGTAAGAGTATCACCTGCGATTTGCATCAATGATTTCTAACATAGCGCAGTAATATTGTTGCGGGAAGTATAACTTCACACCAAAGTGGACGCGGAAAGATATTTGCTCCGGCAAGTTGCACGCTCTGGTAGTCATATAGGTTCGCGGTACGTTCCTGGGTTGATTAATTCCATTATGTAACAAGATAGTAATAGTCACCGCAATCAGTTGAAATCGATAGTTGTAGCATAATCAATATAATTATCTACTCCTTTACCGCAAGCCTATGCCTACACTCGTCTCGATAATGAATCATATGCTGCGAGACTCGAGGTTTCGTTAAATGTTAAATAAGAGCTGCGATATTCGATCGAAAGTAAAGACGAGTACTTTCTTAACGTACGTTAAGAAGATATATACTCGTACATACGTTTGCGTTAAGTTCTTTCTAATAGCGCAGACGAACCACTAATTTTAGCGCTCGACTGCTATTACAAAGTCACGCATATAATAATTCTCACAGTCTCTCTGGAAGATTGATTGCTCTAATGCTAACTACCGGGCGAGCTGCACGCGCAGTTGATGTTTCCTCTTTACATCGCGTGACGATGCTTCATAGCGCCATTTTCTCTTTCTGAATAGCGCCCGGCATGGTTATTCAGTCCAACACGACGGTAAAAACGGTACACGTGTCTTGCAACAAGTAGACCAATGTACTGACTCGAATATATTAAATTTTTTTTCTGATAAAGCTGATTCAAAAATTTGCGAAAAATTTCGTTTGATCTTCTATTTGTTCGATAATAGAAAAATGTAATAAATCCAAAATATTCTATATATAATTAAGGAAAAGCTTTTAACAAAAATTACTTTATTTGAGATTCAAGACAAAAATCGCAGTTTTATTTTAATTTTGTCGCAATATGTTAAAACGTCGCCACATTTATTATTATTTTCAATAATAAAAGTATTGTTAAAAATTTTAAAATTTATTCATCTTATAGTACATAAAATGTAATGCTCAAGATTTTATAGATAAAAAAAAGTTTAGTATACCATTGCTGTATTCAGATATCGATATTATATATACAGCAGAGACGAGTAGGAATATAAAAAAAAGTGGTATCCTCCGCATTTTAAGCAGTGAAGCACTTATTAAAAAAGTTCCGAAATAAATTTAACGTTCCTCTTTCTCACGACGACTTCCGAATTTATGCCGTTTTAGGCGCGAGTATAGTTACAGACGAGTCCGTCGTAACTCCTGGCAAGTTTCCTTCATTACTTCTGCTGCTCGTCCTTTACGTCAATTCATGTCGTCCCCTTGTATGACGAGCACTTTGTTACCTAGCCAGGTTCATTGTTGCAACTTCAACAATAATGTCAATAACGGGGAATAGTGTCCCCTGGAATGACATGCGAGAAAAAAACGCGGCGCTGCCGCGCGGTTTTGCGTATTTCGCGGCCTTTTCCACCTTACGCGCGATTTTACCGGGCTGTCATTTTTTATTTTCTAGTCGCAGACAGCTTTTTGTATCAGAATTCTTGCGAAATACACGGACGATCATTTTGATGATCGTCATTACGATATCGCGCGGATTATCCCGCACGGCAGTCGCGTGATTCAAATTGTCGAGGTAATACTTCTCAACTTGCATTGTTGTTCGCAGCGGTAATTTTACGAATTAATCGATCATGATTGTCGCCATTGTCTGTCAACGACATGTCTGTTGCAGCGATATATACGTATGTGGAAAAGGATAGGGAGGATTATCTAACGTGCGTTCACAGAGACGCACGAGACCGCTTTCAGATGGACTGCAGATAGACATATGAGTGGCTAATGTTATGTAAACGATGCGCATTGTTATGTGTTGCTGAGAAATGTATTATCCAATAAAGCCGCACGAAATCTATGTCAAGTGCAAACACAGCGGACGCACACGCAACGTCTTGCGTGTCCGCACGTCCGCGCGAGAATGCAATCGATAGAGCGTGAAAAATCTGATGCAACGGGCACTTCTTGAATCCACACATATATGCAATAACTAGTATATGTTTCGTAATTCACAATTATTCAAAAAATAGTTCGGATTCATTTGGTTTGTTTCGCAAATTAATGAATTAATAACGCGGTTGTTATTCTTTTTTTAATTTACTCGTGCACTTTGATATATTTCACATTTACTTTCATATTTGTAAATTTATGCGCGCGTCAATATTTCAAGTAATTATTTCAAGTAATTATGTGAACTTCATTTAAATTTTACGACACGGGTATTGGTCGTTTCGACCGAGCAATAACTAAGTTCGTCCCATAAATCATTGATCATGTGCCAACTTTTTATATTCCCAATTAAAAACAGTGTTATAATATTAACTATCGTTTTTGTATTCATTGCAACATGTCTGTGGAATGTCTCTTTAAATGTCTCTCAAAGTATTCATTGCGGCACATTTACAGCTCTTAGCTTCGTAGTAAGCATCAATAAATAACGCGCCCATCTCTCTTGCACGCGGCGGCTCGCGCTATAATGAGCGCTCCAGTATCTACATATAATGTAAGTATTTAGAAATACTTCGGGAACTTAAAAAGAACGTAAATTATCATTGATCTCGTATTAGTCGTTTTACGTGGGACATGTTGCGGGGTACTCTGCATGTGCACGGAAAAACTGCTGTATATTTGCGCGGTGTATTGCTTGCACTTGTGCATAAATAAACATTCGACGTTATATTTTAAATACTCGCTATAATAAAATTCGTTGATTAACAAAGTCAAGACATGTCGAATTACTTTGAATATATGATGAAAATCCCGAATTGTTCTAGTTTTACCTATTATATTAAACATTGAAGCTAAAAAGTGCAAATAAATAAACGTGAATCTGGAATATATTACATGGAAAGTTCTCTTATCTTTTTCTGGCCGGCGATAGTGATCGCGGATAGTGAGTACGATTGTGATCGCGGAAACAATATTTTGCTGGTCTAAAATCATTTCATAACCGCTCATTTTCAAATGCTTACTCTACGCCCCGCTGGACGAATATACGAAAAGGCGTAAAAACGAAACTACTCGGCATCAGTTAGTTCTGGTGCGTTATTTCGGCGTTGCACAATGCACGGCAAAGGACTAGTAGTCGCGAAAAACCGCGCACCGAGCCGATATCTGCCTTTTGCGCGTTGCGAAAATTAGGGGGTAGCGTACATTTGTTGCGTGCCACGTCGGCGCAACGGATATGATCGTGAAAGAAAGAAAAGAAAACGGGAAAACAGTTATAGCGGCAGCGCTGTGAAATTAATATAAATACGAGCGGCAAACGATATTTGCAGATGCTCTGCAAAATATATGCGAAAAGAAAGGATGTTTGTTTTATTCGTTTAAATTACACGCAAAGCGTTTCTTTTTTTTTTGCTCATTTGACTTACGATTTAATTGGACGACACAAATGCCGTTTGAAGCGAAGATCCGACGACGCTAAATGTAGATCTTTATTATTTCGTAGCCAAGACGAATAATTAACCCAATTACTCCAAGCAAATTCTTGTGTGAATACTTACGGGAACATAATGCGGGATTCGAGAAAAATATGATTCATAAATGGTAATTATGGTTGGTAGCGCAACATTGAAGTATATTGTATGCGTCAGAATGTTTTAATTCTTAGATCTTCAAAGAGTTCAAAGTAATGGTAATTCCGTAATGCATCGTGTGAATTTACGCAGTTTACATACAATTCAATCATTATGTGTATTGTTCGTCGAGTCAATTTGCTACGCAAAAATTGTATCCAGAAATTAATAAAATAAGTATGCGACGAAAGATAAATCTTAGAAAAACATTTCTTTTTCAATAAATTGACTTTTCTTCAACAAATTACGTTGGATCTCCATTATAAAACTCGTTAAGACAAAAATATGATTTGACAAGTTGAGCTTCAATGGCGAACGAGTCGTCGTCTTATCGTTATATTTTAAAAGACAGTACTTGCGACAGACCGAGCGTAAATATCGATCATCGGAGCGTTCCTTAATTGAAAATGAAGCCTTGAGGATTGACGTGCACGGCCGTTGCGCGTAGTCACCGCGCGGCAAGAATATAATAATAACGCCTGGAAGGAGTGAAACGCGGATCTTGGGCCTTTAGAAATTCGCCGCGACGTGAACCCGACAGCTACTCGATAAATGGCGATGCAGGCGAGGCTGCAACGACGACGCTCGCCCGATAATCGATTGAACATTTGTTCGGCAGACTGGAAGTACCCGATACTCGGAGGAGAGGCAAAAGTGGCGCGCGAGCGAGCGAGCGACGTTTCCTCGCCACGGAAGCGGAAAGTGGCACCGATTTGTACGGACCGACAAGTACATCGTCTTCGCGACGAACGAGACAGAAATCGGCGGCGTCTCGCCCGACATCTTCGCCACGAAGGAGACTTTCCCCGCAGCCTGGCCCCATCCTCTCGCTCCCCACGCATATAAGATTAGCGTTTTATATCTTTAACCGCGAAACGCTTTGTGCAAAGTGGAGCCGCGATTTCATAAATATTGATTACACGCTGCATTATCGCGCCGCGCAAATATAGCGCTTTTGTATGTGCAGTTAATTTTCTGCCGAAGAGACAACGTAGCAATGTTATGAATGTCTGGCTTACATAATCTAAGACAAGCTACTTTCCTTTATGTAAATACATATTATAGAGTGTCGATTATTTTATATATCAATCCTCTTAAAAAAGAAGAATTGATATCTAAGATAATAAAATTGATGTCTTTTACTTTTTTTTAATTTAACACATTGATTTATAAAAATCTAAATCGTCATTAATCTCTGTAGATTCAACGAGACAATAATAAAATGGAATAATCATATTCCATAAAATATATTTCTTCTCTCACTATAATAAACTGCAATATTTTTACCTTATTTGAAATCGCAGATGATTCTACTCCATGGCAAGTCGAGCTGTGTATCGATGTTCTCCGTGCGCTTTCGAATCTCTAAGCTGCCAAACACGCGCGGCTCCAGTTTAGCTCTAGAACGAATAAGCAAGCACTCTCAGCGGATCTTTAGCAGATCCTTATCTTCGCGCGCGGATATATGATACATCACGAATCTCGTGCAATCAGCGTGCCGCGATGCCGTAATACCATAATAAATCTCACGCCGCTTTCTTTGGGCAGAAAATTCTACCGGTTTTACGAGACGGTTTCGCGGTGACGACGCCGCGGTTTCTTTAATTTCCGCTGTAAGCACACGCACTTCTTGCACATATCTATAGGGGCATTAAGTAAAATCGGTCATATTCTCATGAGGCTCGATCGATTTTATCCCACGCCGATATCCCGTCTTATTCATTTCGACATGTTTTCACTCGGTTAACGATTATCGAATCGTGCGTGAAAATACGTTCGTCTAGCCACTGTTTGTGACATGTATACGCTTATTTGCGACCACTAGACGAATGTACCGTGCAAGCAAAGAAATAGACTACAACACTGAAAATTCTAGGGTTCCTAGCTGTATGTTTACCTTTAGTTCTACCTCTTAATCACTCGTGCGCGAGTGTTCACCGCGAGTAATTATTACCAATTATTATTAGTGTAAATAATATGGTCGATATGCTTTGTACAATTTGCATGGCTCTCATACGTGATTGATTAAAACGAAACCGGTTTCGCAGCTGCGAGAATGTGCACACGGATGTAGCTCTAGATAGAAACTTTTAGGAGCCTAATAGGAGTTCTCGTATGTCAAAGAATTTGAAAACCTATTGCATATTCAAGATCTAAAACACAAGATTAGGAATATATGTATACACACAGCTGTCTATTACGTGGATTAATTTTTCGACAGCTGTTTAATCATTTTGATTGACAAATCGCTTTAACTTTCATCGCGAACAATATTCCACGATATATACACATACCCATCTCAGCTTTGAGCTGTTAATATTCACGCTCTTCTCATTAATGCGCGACTGCAGGACGCAAATGTACACTTTCGTTACACATTACAAGACACAGTTTCTCCGTTCGCAAAGATCGGGTGAGAGTATGTCTTACGTGCAACGTCGAACGTATACGTGTTTGAATATTCCGCGCGCGGCCCGAACGGTTGCAGGAAACTTTCGTAATTGCTAATACACGAACGCGGATAATGGCGCCCGATGGTAATTATCGTCGTCGTGCGAGCGTCGTGCACCGCAGATTTCGTCGCGGATAAGAGCGACGCCCGTCGTGTTTATCATTTTATTGGCAAATTTCATTCCGGGACGAGGTCTCCTTGAGCAATGAAAGGAAAGTGTGTCCCGGTGCAGCTTCGCTATATTTACGCTCTAAGTTGGGTTAATCTCGTAAAATAATAAAAAAACAAATAAAAGTTTGCTGTAGTCGACAAATATTTTAGTGGACACACTAAATATACTCACCTTTAAATACATATAAAATAATTTTTTATTTTAGTTTAGTTTGTATGAAGCTGTGCGTCGTCTTTTATTGGGACACACGTCTCCCACAAAATAAAACTGATTTTCCCAAAAAACGTTTTAATATTCATGTAACCATTGCATGGTTTACCTTCAAAATATTTTCTAACATGCGCCCTCTTTCATTTCCCTAATTTATTTATTGATCTATTGACGAATTACGTAAAAACTAAACACGTATGAAGTTTTCATAGACGCGAATCTGTGATAAGGCACACACGCGGCGGATTTATACACAATGATTTTATTTTACTCCTGTCGATTAAGTAATATTTACACGTTCCTTGTACAAAAACTTATAAAAATCTTCTAAGATCGACCATACCTATGCAAAAATTACGTAAGGGCTAATTAACCGGAATGAGCGGGTGTTTTTTCGGCCACGGATCAACGAAGCTGCGAGGCCCGTGTATTTTTCGCCACCTGACCGTGCGCGATTAAAACCGGGCGCGTGCGGAACAGATTGGCCGAGAAGCCGGCGCATTTAAATGCACCAACGTAGAACGTATCTCTTTCGCGCGTTTAAAGAACCATGACCGAATTGCACGGAAACGAAAGCGACGCCACGCCGGCACCCCGGCCGCATTGATTCGCGGCCTCATACCACGCTTCCTTACTCTCTCTCTATCACATTTACATATAAATATATTACTTATTACATTAAATCGCGCGCGTCAAACGCGGCCGCGCGACACGGAGCGTTAAAACAATTTGTGATGGAACGGGGTATAGCGGGTCTCGTAAAGATCGCCTCGTCCGAAAACGGCTGCCTACGCTTAATTAAATCACGACCGCGATGAATAACTTATACCAGTCGGCACGAAATGTATACCGCCGCCTCTTAAATCATTTTCAGCGGATCCAGGCGGTGCGCGCGTGCGCACCCACCTCTATTTACCCGGTCTTGTTTCATAAGCGGATATCTCTCGACATGTAAGGCGCGGAGCGGATTCGCTATTCAAGTCCCGCTCGCTTTTGTTCTAGGATCGCACTGTCAGGAGTGCACGGCGCTTTCTGGCCGCCGCTAATTATACACGCCTCGGCGTCGCGGAGGCGCGGATATATACCCGTATAGTAATGCACCATAAAATACGGACTTGTACTTTCGTAGACTTCATTTATATGCGGACGTTCCCGTTGCTCGTGTACCGCAGGGATTACCGCGTTTAGATATCGAGACTAACTAAGTATGTGGCGTAATATCAATTTCGATATGGCCGGTATTTAGCTGCTATAACTATCCGGTCTCGTCGGCATTCTTATAAGAATGGCGTCTCGAGTTGATTCCTAATCGAGGGAGATAAGAAAACACGGGTTTTGCTTACCGCGCTCTATCCCGTTGAACTTTCATCTTAAAATATTTCGCGCGTTACGCTACGCCTTGGGGAGAAACTTGATAATTTTAGAAAAAAAAAAAAATCCTTAGAATCGCACGTATTTCTCTATTTGTACATCGCGCTAATAGCTCTCCTTTACCCCGCGAACTTTATGCAATCTTAGCAAAGTTCACGGGAAGTAGGCGTACTCCCACGCCGCCAATCACGGAGGAGAGGCTATTGTTAAATAGAAAGAAGAAGAAAAAGAATGTACTTTAAGGCTCGTCCTTCCTTCAATGGACACGCACCACCATGTAACGCTGATCTACTAGTCTACCACAATGTCCAGTTAGTAGTCTACGAGTCGTGACAACCGAAACCTTGACTACCATTTTTTTCTTCGCGCTGTCGTCTTCCTGCAGTCCCCCGATTGCCGGACGTTTAGTAGTAGAAGTAGGTAAAGTAACCTGCAACAAAATAAAGAATTCGTTCTCGAGATCTGGATGTTTTTTAATTGACGTACGGGAGGGTTGATTGTCGCAAGCATCGGTCGATTGGTGCAATATTGGTCCAACATATTCCCAACGTATTTATGTCAATGTTTAACCAATATAACAAACTGTGCTACTCGGGATAAAAATATTTTAAGACCTTGAATTTATAATTCTGAAGCTTTAAAAAAAAAAAAAAAAATAAACAGAAAAGTACGATCTGAACACAAGCGTGCATACGACATTGATCGATGTAGTATTAAATATCACTACACACTACTACAATCAATATCGCACATATACATATGCACAAATCGGCAAAACAGCGACACCACGGAGTCGTCCTTCCAGCATCCTCCTAAAGGATGCTCCTAAATCATACGCTGTAAATTTATAGTAACGGGTTTATTCCGGTCCGTCCGTCTTTGTTGCGCTTGCGGAAGCGCGGACGAAGCAAGGAAAATTAATTCCCACATTTCCAGTCGCCTACACTTCCGGGACGCTCACGCCGGCGGATTCCGACAGATTCTTCGTCATAGGGAATCGCGATAAAATCGTTTTCCCGATTTCCCTCGCCCACCAATAGATTTCGGTCTTTTTTTCTCTTCCGCATTTTCTCCCCGTCCCCGTCTCGCGCCCTCCTGACGCCGCCATTCGACAGCGAGTTCTGAGGATCCTCGAATTCATCAGCGCGAGCTCCGTTCAACGGTCCGTGTGATTTCCATCAACGATTCCACTGTCAAAAGTATCCCTCGAAGTGCTAACACTCGGAACACCTGAACGTCGCTAATGAGTAGCGAGGGTTGATACCACTTCAAAGCTGCTAATTACAGGGACCCTCGTCACCTTGTCCCATTCGTCGGAGGCGGGACAGGACTGACCTCATCCCCTACGTCTTTCACCCTTTGATTAGTAAGTGCTCGCTTTTCCGGTCCCCTAATGCTGCTCTGTCGCTTCTCCCTCGCTTTCGCGCGTAGCACACGTGTGCTTTGGCAAGATCGTATGCGGCGTCGATAATAAAGTCGACCGCAAAACGAATGGGGGATCCCGAATGGAAGCCATTAGGGAACCAAAAGGATTTCGCCCACGTTCCGATTATAATCAATTTAAACGCGAGAACGCCCTAATGACGAACGGCAGCGTTTAAAAATAATTGTCGGTAAATGACAGCGACCGAGTCCGCCTTGAAAATTATTCGGGCGACCGAAGCGCGTATTTTGCAATCACAACCGTATCGCTAATGCTTAGAAATTTCCATCAAGCGGTAAATCAATTTTATGCCCATCAGATAGATGCACGTTTTGTAATTTTTACAGAACAAAGAAGTCAATATCGCGTAGCTAGGTTCATTTCGCACAACCTGCAGCTGGTTAGTCAAATGTACTGGAACGCTTTATATCGAGTCATTAAAAACTTCTTTCGGGGCATCTTCGCGCGGAAGTCTTCTCGTCCAAATTAATGCCCCGTAAAAAAAAAGTATTTAACGGAGATATCGTTAAGTTACGAGAGAGTTCGTTCCCACAGGGAATACCAACGACGAGTTTCGGGGAAAATTCGTTTTTCACACCCTCCTCCTTTCAACCCCAGATAAATTTCCGTCAAGGACGTCCGGAGGGGTCAACAGTTTTTGCGTGTTGCGTAATTAAATGCGGATCGTCGGGTTTAATGACTATCAAGGGGAACGAATGGCCGTTTGACCTAGAACGCCTACGCGCATCTTCGTGCCGTTGTATCTGTTCCACCGCATCAAGATTCACAGCGACTGATTATCGGCGTGAGATACGATCGTTCCTAATTGGCCAAATTGCAGATGAAGATACTCGCGCACGCACCTTTTTATCGTCCGTTTTTATCGTGAAATTTCGACATATAGAAGCTGTTGCGAAAATTGCGTATACTATCCATCAAACGGAAGTCACGCTCGCGGGTTGCATCAATCTCGCCTCTTCGGCTTTATCAGACCGGTTAGCGCAAAAAACGTGCCTTGGCGACCTCGGCGGCTCAGCCAGTGAATTAAATTATACCGTGCACTTATTATCCAACGCGCTGGTTAATCTTCAGAATTGTCCCGATAAAGCAGGCCGCGCTTCCCCGGAGCTACAACCTCGGAGGGGTCTTATACTCTTTCAGGGATTAACGTACCTCGTCCTCCAGCGCGCCGCGTTGGGACGTTAATCACGGGCACGTTTACCCGAGATTTACGTTTTCTCTCCCGTGTCGAGTTGCGCGCATTAACGAGTGCAAAACGTTATAAAATGCGAGATGGATCGGGCTTTCTCCCCCTCCCCGCGATATCGGCCGCGTGTTTCTCCACACAGGGAGAATTTATTCGCCCGCCATTCACTTCTTTTGCGTCGTGCGCGGGTTTTAATACCGTTACCGGTACGCCTTTCTTCGCTACCCCGCTATCTTTTATAGAGTTATATAAAATGTGCGCGCGGCGTTGCAAGAACGCATTTTGTTTTTTTTAAATTCAATCGTGCGTTTCCTCAATTATTGCAGCTGGCACGAAAAATGTCTAATACAAAGAAACGTACTTATATTCGATGCGAGCGATTACGAATTTTTGTTCCGAATCAATCCGAGCGATCTTCCATCAGACCATTATTTGCAAACGGTAACACGCGCCGGCTTATGGGAACAAAGCTTTATTGCGTTCGAACTGATATTGCAACAATGCATTTACCGCTCGCGTGCGCAATTACGCGTTCTTTCTCTGCGCCGTTTTCTTATATTAAATTTCGCAGACGCACAAATTACGCAACCGAAAGTTGCCCGCACCTTTCGTCGATTACCAGCTTGGATGACACTTGACATTCTTGGGTATAGCATTGATCTTCCAAGAGACAGCGAGGTAACGAAGTAAAAACCGCGCGATATCCCCACCATCGTTTTTCTGTCTTTAGAAAGACGTAACATCTGTCGTTCGTCAAGAGAAACGAAATTTTACGATTACTCTCATAACACCGAATCCGACTCTTCCAATCGTTTTGTCTCTCTCCAATAAATATTCCTTGACGAGGTCTTCTCCAAATGATGTTGCATGAATATCTTACATAATTCCTCTCATCGCCAAGAAATACACATATACTTCATTATATGCGTGTCACATACCTGGACGACTTTCGCCTGTATTTAAAAGATTTCGAATGGACCATATCTGAGAAATTTGCGTATCTCATTTGACATGAAAAATCCACACGCTTTTTCGTATATGAGAACGAGCAGGGCAGGCGAGGTAACGAAGTAAAAAAACCGCGCGATATCCCCACCATCGTTTTTCTGTCTTTAGAAAGACGGCGAGTCGCGCGATTGAAAGGAGAGAATTTGATCGAACTTGACCGTGCGTGACCGATTCTCGGCTCTGGTCAGAGGTCGGGGATCGGGGGAACGTTGATCCTCGCTTCTCCCTCTCCGTCTCACTCTTCCGGTGTCCGCGTCGCTGACCAAAAAGGCAACCTTGTCGCGTTGACGGCCTCGTAACACCTGTTACGCGCAGTGGAGTAACTTAAGTAAGGTTACGCGTAAAACGAGTTTGCGAGCCGCCACGAGGCCACGCAGCCTCGTCGAAATCGCTTTCACCGAACCGTCGCGGATTCCCACCCAGTGTGTACTCGTGTTCCAAGGCTGAAGATTCCCCGCGCGCGCGCGAGGAAATCAGTGTACGCCTGGCGTACGTTTCGCGGAAGGAGGAAGTACAAGGGTACCCATCTCTTCGCGCGCCTCGGTTAGCGATCTTCCCTTCTCTCGCTCTTCCTTTCTCTTTCTCTCTTTCTCTCTCTCTGTCTCTTTTTCTCATTACGTCTCGTTATATCGCTCGATGAGTCTACCGTGCGGCCGAGCACCGCAGGTGCGAAGGACGGCGCGTGAAATGAAAGCCGAGCGTACGCTCAAATTACCGGAAGAGACACGTTGCCTCCTCCCCTCCCTCCCTCCCGCCCACCCTGCGTACTACGTCGCGGAAATCGAGGAGATTCGATTACGCAAGGAAACCCGTTTCACGGTAGGTATTATACGATACGGTTCCGAATCGATTTGACGACACGGGACCCGATCTGATCGCTCGCTTTCCGACTCTCGGCTTCGTCGGTGCAAACGGGTTGACCGGGTGGGTAAGTGGGTATCGCTGACAAGGTTAATAAGATAACGATCTGGCGAAAGTCTCTATTATATCGAAAAAAATGATTCATGCTCACCGCCGTGTAATTACGAGATAAAAAGGGGGGAAACATTTATCGAACGTTCACCGCAATATGCGTATATTTTACCAAGACCAATTACGGTGCGATACCGCTCTACGGAGACGTTAAGTATATTACTTCTTTCTATGGACTTACCTGTGCGCAGTACAGGAGAGATTACGATATCTATCTGCTAGTGCATTCTCTGTCACCAGACATGCTGCGGTGCGCTTAGTTATAGCTAAAGGACCCTCGTACCCACGTATTAGTATCGCGTCTCACCGTCGCGGATCTCCGAACTGAGATTCGTCCAATTCGGGGAGGAGTCGCGAGACGAGCGAGAACGTCGAAAGTTTCAAGCCTTGTAGCATGCTCGCGAGATCGCAGCCGTCCGTCTCGAGCTCAACGTATAGCCTCTCGAGATGTACGTAATGGGAAGAGCTGATTGTCGTCCTCGACGACAGGGCACCATTAGCACGCCCGCGAAACGATGTACCCGTCGAGATTCAAGGATCAAACGTCGGGCCGGCAAGACAAAGTCAACCTTCGCAAAGAACTAACGAACGAAGGTAGTAGGGAAGCGAATTTTTGTGGTTTCTGTGCCGATTCTTAGAGCAGCGGTGTATTCGACATCGCGTGGTCGGAGAATCAGGTGCTACTGACTCCATCCTCTTTTAATATGCCAATTTTTACAAATGATACGAGAGGAGATCAGGAGATCAGAGATCAGACAACGCTTGTGCGTACGTCAGATTTGCGATTACATATGCTGAGGGTTCTTTTTTTTTTTTATTAATTTACAACGTATTTATATATTGTGTAACGCCCTTAACAATTATAAGAGTGTCCGAACAGTCGCGCAACATTCGCGATAAAGTCACATCTGTCGTTTCAATACATTGCGTATCGAAATGCAATAAGGTTTCAATGTCGCATTGAGTTGTGCTTCATAAATATTAACGCTTCACATTTGGCGATGCCAACGAATCAGCAATATTACCATAAATATATATATTATTTTCGAGCGACTTTTGATGAATTTGCATAAAATTGACAAGCTCTTTACTTTATATTATAGAAAACGCGCAAAACACACATTTCTTTATCATGTAACGCCATTGCTGGATTTTAAAGTGTTAATACGCGTATCGTAGAGTCACGCGTGACTTTTCGAACATCTCGCAAAACAATAAACGTAACAGTGCCGCATATGGACATGCACCCTTATATAATTAAAATTCGGGGGGTGGGGTGGGGGTGGGAAAATGTGTATCGTAGACTATGTTATTTCATAAGTGACAACAATAAATAGTGTTTATACATAAGTCGAGTGCAGAGGTACGAACGAGGTATCGCGTGTGATAAGAGAGATATTACTCTCTCCTTTACTCTGGTTCTCTCTCTCCCTTTTTTACTCATTCTGTTATCCTCGACGACTCTTTGGGTTGGCTTATACATGCAGAGACTGGTCACGTAAAGGCTCGCCGGTTCGTATTCCACCACCGATCCCTTTTAACCCTTTCGTATATTTTTTTCTCTTTTTTTTTAGGGGGGAAGGGGGTGCATCGGGATTTCGTTTGATTCTCAGAACCTGGCGAACGAATTACCTGCGCTGGGTGGCACGAATCCGTATCCGCTCGCGCCCACGACGACGCCGCTGCTGTCAGCTGTGTTGGGTGGCGGCCCAGGTGGGAATAACACCGGACCTGCGAAAGAAGGCACGGGCATATCAAGATGTATTCTCTCGCTTCAGTGGCTGCGATCGTTCTCACGATTGTTCACGATCAATCAAAAATGCGAACTTCATTTTTGTTCTCGCATTTCTAGCCAATAAATGTCAAAACTCTTAAGACTTGAATCACGTAAAAAGAAAAATTTAATATTTTTGAAATAATCCTTCGCGGAAAGATCTTAGCCATTATTTCGATAATCAATTAACGAATATCGCAATAGAATGGCATACTTTTAAATATTCTCCCGTAAATTTATTGATCTCCTGTGATCTATATTGAGTTACGCTTAATACAGTGGGTATACAAGATCTATAGGATCGTTATCGTTTGACGAGATTGAATCGAGTTGATTGGATGCTCGCATAAGTTACAAAGATCGTTGGTTTTCATGGTCATTGGCGAAGCAACGATGCGCGGTTGATCGCACATAGTAAACAGAATCATTAAACGTAACGTTAAACAACGAAGGACTTTCAATTAACCTTGCAAAACCTCAACTGAAAACTTGTTCGATGTTATAGAAAATGAATATTTTTTATACACTTTTTATGAATTTAACGATAAAATTCTTCGGCAAATACACATATATGATTAAGCAACGTTTATGTAACGCCGCTCACACCGGCAATTATTGCAGCAATGTATACATATAAAGTATTAATTACATACTCTTTTTTATATAATTAACTTCGAATTCACTACTTTAATGAAAACAATAGTGGTTTTATCAATATTTAAAATTAAAAAAATAATAGCCGCCTAAAATAAAGAAATTTTTAAACAAAAATTAACTCCCAAATTGTTTTCGTTTATCCTACATATTATATTATTTAACAAACCGCAACTACTAATAGCTAGCACTACAGCGTTACGTGATATTAAAGGAAAGTTGTACTTATATACAAAGGAGTAGTGGAAATCCTTTCTAACACGAGGAAGTTGTGTTCATGTGCCTGTATTATTAATCGATATACTGACATGATATTATATGGGCGCAGATACTATCTAGATTTATTAAGATAATTATCTTGACGATTGTAGCGCATTCGGGTAACAAACGTCAGTTTCCGCCTAGTAGTCTTCTCCTACTATTATTCACGATGAAGTAGTAACGGAATATACGCGAGGCGAGCACGCCTTCGGTGTGAATAATCGCTATGAATATTCAGCAGTAGAAAAACGAACGATTTGTTTGACTGATGTAAGCTTCCGATGTTATCCCGATAATCACTTTCCAAGCGCGGTAGTTTTGAGAATTATTGGAGCAGAAGATAAATTGAGAACGTTAATCATTTAATATCGCAATTCAGAGATTCATTTCAAAATTATATATTATCATTATCAATTAAAGAATCACAAATTTAATGTATGATACAAATAGAAAAGGTGTACAAATATTGTAAAACAGATAATAAATATATTCTCTTAGATTTCCTGTCGCATATAAAAACTAACTAGAATAGTTAGTTTTAATGTTCATGGCAAATTAAAAAGTGATTTGTATTGCTCGGGCTACCTACTCGGTAGGTACCGTCAGATACACGATGTATGACGCATTATTTATTGTACGTGAATTTGAACTTGACACTCATTTCAGTGCCGATTATTATGCGCATACTAACGCTCGAACAGGTTGCAAGAATCGCGTATCCTGCCCGTGCGAGCCATTTAAATAATGTAGTTCGATCAACCTAAGAAGTAACAGCGTCGGTATAATATTTTAATATCCTAGACAGTTTTATATATACATTAAATTCTCTTACGTTTATAATTGTAAAATTTACTACATTAAAATGGATCTCAAAATGGAATCCTATTCCTATAAGTAATGTTTCTTTAATTGTAAAACTCATTAATTTTATAAAAAATATTACGACATAATAATAATTGAATGAAATGCAATGGTTAACGTAATACGTTCAGAAATTTTATCATAATTCACGAAGTTCACGATACATATAAAAGTAAACGGTTTGCCTTTCCTTCCGTTGCGTGCACGTGCTCAAGTAAATCCCTAGTTAGCTTCGTTGTTCCGGTAAAAAGATCTATACTATCTACGATAGATTCTCCTCAGCATCAACAACAAGGCATTACCCACACGATTCGATTCAAGCTCGTTCCTCTCGATCGCAATCAGTCGTTTGATTATACGACAGCGCAGAGCTCAAAGAACATTCCTTTTATATCTTGGATCTTTACGGTTGAGCGGACATAAACCATCATAAAAACGATTGTTGTATTGTCAATCGTGCGCGGAGCGTTACGTAAATAGATGCGGTGAGCGGATAATGAGCTGCAGCTATAATTAATCTCCTCAAATATTTTCGTAGAGCCATAGATATATCTCGTCTACTGAATTTCTGAGCGGAAATTACTCTGAAATTGTTGTAAATTTTCTCAGTTTATTATAAAATTATACGCTTCCCCATCGCGCTAAGGTTCTCGCAGTAATACAGTGGAGGAACAATAATTATCGCGATTATACCCTGTTACATCTCTCAATAACGTCGTAAGCGCGCGCGAGACTTCGTTTCCGAGAAATCTATCACATCGAGGAAGAACTTTCGAACGATTGAAGAATTCCAGGCGAGCGAGGTGCATTAGAATGCCTACCATTATTTACGGACGGAACGAGGCCGTTTCTTCGCGGCGTATGCAAATAGAAGAAAACACAAGAACAAATTATCGTAATTGCACGATTCTCAGCTTCCTGATAAATGTGGAGGATATACAAGAACGAACACTTCCGAAGCGTACCGTAAATCTCAATGAGCACTTCGAGACATCTAATAACAGCGTATGAACAAAAAAAGGAAAGCGTAATTGTTTTCTAGTGAGCTGTCGGGCACGGTAATAATAATACCGACAAATCATCTTCGGATTATGCAAATTGAGGTAGCCGTACTTATAAAAGTGCAAGGGTCATTTCAGAAAATCTTATAAGCGATATCAGAAATTTATCGATTAATTTATCAAATAATTAATTCGCAATTTTATGATTTTACAACAACAAAATTAATTTTTGTAATATCAACGACGTGATACATACATATATATGGTTATCATTTTTTTAAATAAATATTATTGTACATCAGTTGTCTATTAAAGTTTCAAAGATGAAGAAGATGTCTGTCATTCTTTTAATAATACTATTACGTAATATTGATTGTTGTTAAAATAACTCACCCCTATTCGATCTCGGGTCCCTTAGTGCGGCCCTAAAGTCACCATAAGGACCAAATCCGGCGAAAAAATGCCTGAAATCCTGCGCCGAGACGCCCGCCAGGACGGCCATGACAAATACGACTAGAACAATCTGCAATAAAAAAATTAATAAATTTGTAATTCTCATTAAAAAGTGTTTTATGACGTTTGCGTCGAATTTTAAGAGCTTTCTTTATATCTTTAATAAATAACGATATGTTTCTCGATAAATTTGAGATCAGAGATCTTTTCTTTATACTAATTTCGTAAATGAAATAATAAATTTGTAATTACAATAGGAAAGTTTAATGTGGAAAGCAAATTAAGTTCGTGAAAAATCTCTCCACGAGGCAAACAAGACCATCCAATTTTAATTCCTACATTACGTAAGTTTGTGAAAATTGTTGTGTAAAAGAAGCGTAACGTAAGAGGAAAAGTAACCCTTAACTTAGATGCTCAATCTTATATTTTTTAAAACTGCATTACGAAATTATGTGGCAACCGCCTCTTGTGAATCGCGATACCGCGCTTAACTGAGAGAAAATCTTTCCCAATGAGCATTCACACGTCCAGCGTACTGCGGTGATTTACATAGATACGTACGAAAGATAGACGTGTTAAGGAGCCAAGGACGTTATTATTCGCTTGTTCCACATATAAACCGTCGGTTACTAATTATAACAAAGTAAGAATACTTTCGCGTGGCGTTTAATCACTTGGATTCTCACGGGGTAACAGCTGTTTGACGAAACTTGCTCCTCGTAATGCAACGAGCGATCGCGAGTCATCGCGAGAGTTGTTTCGACCGTTACGACTGTCCGAAAAATGGCCGTTATTATCGATAATTATCGGTGTATCCAGTACCGCGCGCCGATCTAGCCTGTCAGGTGCTAAATAATGGCGCTATCCGGCATAACGACGCTATAATAAGTATAGGCTTTAAATTATCGAGATAGGCTTTAAGAGCGCGCGAGAATGTCGGACGCACGACCAGTGCGTCCCCGCGGTTGAAAACTGCGCGCTGTAAAACCTCGGAATTATATCCCTTTGCCTATTTGACAGCTTGCGTGGTAACGCTCGATCTGTGAAGTTATATCGTCCGTGACGAAGGTGCGTGACAATTTTTACGGCTGATCGATCGCCGACCGCGTACAATTTCCACCGCAAGCAGCTGAAATTTACGACCCTACGACACACCTCTCGAAACAGTCGCTCTATGGGATATATTTACAAGTAAACGTGCCGATTAACGTTTTCATTCTGTCGGCCTGACACGCGCCCACAACCGGTCAGAACCCAGATTTTGACAAAAATTGCTGAATCCATCACAAAAAAAATTGTTTTTTTTTTATTTGAGTTTATCTGCTTTTGACTGATAACTTTGTTTGCGATCTTCGTTATCGGCGCTATTTCCCATCAATTCTAGACACTTAATGGCTGCATCGCGTGATCAATCACTAATCTATCGTGCTCCGCGATGTCGTAAGACAAACACTGTCACAATCAAATTAGCGAAGAGAGCCGCGAGGATTCCCGTCGGATTAGGATGACGTAAACCGCCCGTAAACCGTCACGCGCGCTCGCTTCGAAAATCCGTTATCGTCACCACGAATTTTATGTGGTTCTTACGCAAACGCGAGAAAGATGGAGCAACAGGGGGAGGAAGGAGGGGGGAGGGACGAATCGTCCGAGGTCCCAATTTCTTTCTCCCTCGAGATATCGTTTCCTTACGTAAAATCCCTGATGAAATCGTTTACAGCCGATTTACGGCCGATACCTCTCGACGGAGGAGGCATCAAAACGAGACGTCGAGGAGAAGATCGTCGAAGGACACCAATTCCTCAATCGCAATTACCGGAGCTGACTCCCGAGGTAATCGCTCAGATATAAAAGGTTACCTCGATTCGTCGGCACGATCGGGGCAACACGGGCAACACCGAGTTCGTTCGCCGCGGTTCGTTCCACGAATGATTTCCGTATCAAAGGCAAGGTGAGCCGCCGCCACGACCGCTTTCCGCCGTGCCTCTTTTCGCGTGGTTTTTCTTTCGCCGGTGCCAATGTCAAGGCGAGTTGACTAGTGGTTTGCCAGGTTTGCCTTTAAAATCGAGCACCGCGCCGTGCAGTTCGCCCGCAACGGAACGATCGAGCTAATCGTGTGGCGAAGGCAGAGATAATATATGTATCCGTTCTCGCAGACCCTAATGTTCGGACAGGAATCCCGGGACCGGCGATTTTTACAGTATAGCGGCCCGCCGTCGGATCGTCAGGATCGCGGGATTTCGATTACGACAGTATCTTTTTTACGACGGCGATTAATATGGCAGAGAGAAAATTAACGGCGGGACGTGCAACCAACGATTTAATATCTATTTTTTCTGCTATATAATGTATGTACGCGGATCGTTTCAACGCGCACGACATTTCGACATATAATTCCGGGCGGATTATTATCTTACGAGCGTAAATGCAATAAACACGTTGCCGCGAACGAAACGTATAATTGATGGATCGAAAGCCACGGTGCAATGATGTAACGAGACGAAAATTTATTCGACGAAATGCGGAATGACGATCGTATATCGCCGAGAACGAATGCACAGGTGCCGGGGAAAAGGCAGGCTGACGGCGTAGACTCGATCCGGTGGGACGCGCGCGGCAGATTTTGACACAGCACTTTTAATTAATAACGTCCATTAAAAGAGGGTAAACGCGCAGGCTGCTATTTACGATTTTCCTTACAGACGCACTTTCTTGTTTCTGATTCTTATCTGGCATGGTCGCGTGCCTCTAGCATAATTCACTTCTGTTAATTAGCCATCCAATGAACAACCATCGACCTCGTCAACGGTTGACCTACGAAACGGCTTCATATATCGAATTAAAAGCAATAATGAAAGAGTTTCACGATTTACGGACTTTGTTTGTCAAAGGCCAGCTCACGAATCTGTTTTCTCTAACCTTTATACGAAAGTGTAAATGGACTGAATGGACATTGTGTGACATTATAAAATTACATTCGCATTACTAACGCATTAATTTTTTCCTTTGAAGTACAGTCCAATTTTAGTGATTATATCTCTTTCTCGGAAATTTTTCGTGACAGCATTGTCACGCGATAATAAAATTAAACGCAAAGATCGAGGCACGAAACACACAGCGGAGAAGAACTCGGTCGCGCGAGAAATTATGAGCAATCTTCGGTTCAGCGCGTTCGCGTTGTAACACCGGGATGGGACGGACACAGTCCGATCTCCACTCACACAGCGTGAAGGCAAGGTGAAGGCGAGAAGCATTCTATCGCGGGATGCTTAACTCTTGAGATCTCCCGGCGGCGGCGGCGGCGAGACGACGGGGAAGACCTTCGGAATGAAAGATCAGGTCCGCGATTACGACACAAACGGTCAGTCGAGCGGAAATTTCGATGACAATGCGAATATCGAGGAGAGAGAGAGAGAGAGAGAGAGGACGCGGGCGCGAAGCGAAGGAAGTAATTTCGAGAGAGCCATCGCTCTCGCTGTTACTCGTCATCGAGTGTGTGTTGGCCGGCCGGCCGGTGGCATCGCCGCCTTCGTTTCTACGAGGTCGCCTACAAAGTGCGGCACACATGTGCGTAAGACCGTGACGCGAGATCACGCCGGCCAGATATCTCCGTCCGCGAACGTGCGGACGATCGCGAGCGCGGGAAAGGGAAGGGGGAGGGGAGGAGAAAAAGCCATCGACGTAACATGTGTCTGTGGAAAAGAAAAAAAAGACCGCGGCGGTATTTCGCGGCGCGACACGATTTCGCATGGCGATTTGTTTTACGGCCGCGAGGCGGTCGAACGACACGACCACAACCGCGCGTCGGAGGTCGTGTTTGTTATCCGCGGAAAGAAAAGAGAGAGAGAGAGAGAGAGAGAGAGAGAGAGAGAGAGAAGAAATAGACGACGACGACATGTCAGAGGAATGCGGGCGGTGCGGTTTCATTACGCGGGCGTTATTTCATCTCTCCTGTTTTGTCGCCGCGAACTCCGGCGACCCGTCGGACGATGAATATTCATCATCCGCGATATAATAACTCATAGCGCGCATCTCGACGCGTCGATATTTTATGGGATTAGAAACGGCTTTTCGAAGGATATTGGGACCGCCGCGAGTGTCACAGGCCGCGATATGTCGCGAGATTTTACTTCTGTCCGTGCTGCAAAAAAATTTAGAAAGTCTTCGTCAAAAGCATTGATTTCTGTAGGACATTGTGTTATTATTAATATTTAAGAGAAATTCTATAACCCTTTGAATAACAGCCGCAATGATTTATGTTGCTACTTGTATCACTAATATCGACGCTGGTCACGTTCGCGCCTATTTCCATGAATCAATGGCAGATAAATCCATCTGCAATTATTCCGACGTATCAGAATGGCGAGTTAATGATTCTATTAATTTATTTATACGAGATCGACATGTCAATTATTGAGTCGTATATTCGTGTTCGCTCCGCAGTAAAACTTAGAAAGAAAAAAATGTAACAAACCGGTATAATAAGCGTGACTTTAGCTATCGGTATTGCCCGCATTTCATTTATACACTTATGTATTGCATTGAGAACATAACGAGTTACTGTAAAGAGATTTGTTAATTTTTTCCTTGTTGACGCATCGAGGAAGAATCAAAAGATTCATTAAACAGATCTGAGATATGATAATATTAATATATTCTAATTTCTAAACTATTATTTCTAAATTAATATTTCTAAACACATTCATTATTTAATTAAATAATGAATGTGTTTAGAATAAGAAATTTAGAAATTATAATAACTAATAGTATATAATTAATTTAGATTAATTCGAATAACATTGGAATAAAAAAATTAACAAATGCAACTGAGCGTAAATATTATTACTTTCACTTAATATTTAGGCCTAGGACGGCTGTCGATTCATCTAAGCAGGCGCGAACTTTTTTGTTCATTTACTTTGTGAATGGAATGGATGATTTCTCGGGAATTATGTTTCTGAATCGATAGTAATGATTCTTATCGACCATCTGAGGAAAGGGGGAAGCTCTTTAAGCCGATCGTCTTATACGAATGCCTGGACAGAGTCGGATACTTTAGCACCGTCCATACGT